CCATACCATTCTCCAAATTTGCATCCCCACTTTTTGTTGGGCTGGAGATAAAAAAAAAAGGGGGAAAATCCCACTTCTCCAAATTTGGCATCCAGGGTTGGAGACAGCCTAAGACCATCTCCATCCAATTGCTTATTGCTATTGCTTATTGGGTGGAATCCTACGTGGCAATAGCTTTAAGCAATTGCAAGGATGTAGCACTTCTTTCTTATTTAGCAAGATTGCTAAATAAGCAATCCCCTTTGCAATGCCACATAAGCAATTGGGACCCACACATTCATGCACTAAAATTCTTTCTTTTTTCTTTCTTTCTTTTCTATCCACTTTGTACACATAAAATGTATTGTTAAGGAAAAGAATATGTAGTAGGTCCCATCAATAGCAATTGCTAACCTATTGCAGGGATGTTGGTGGTTTGAAATGGTTGAATTGAATAGTTGCTAAAGTTGGTGATGTGGATGTGGGGTCCATTTATGAAATGGCTAACCTATTGCAGGGATGGAGATGGTCTAAGGGTTGTGAATTAAAAACATTTTATTTTCCCTAATTTTTTTAATCGGCTCTTATCTTCATTGTTCTAACTCGTATTTTAATTTTTTTTTTAACAGATGGAGCGACTTCATTGTGCTCTACAAAATGAGATCAATTTTCAATATATTTTGAGAAACTTTTTTTCATACCTCCCGTTAACAACTACATACCATATGGTAATTTCTTCGTTTTTAAGTTGTTTTTGAAAGCGTTTGCTCAGAAGGAACGAGTTCATCATGATCAATTGGATCTACAAATTTTTGGGTAAAAAAAATACAAGATAAAAAATCACCATACTTTACCACTATGGTATGTGGGTGGTAACTTGTGGTAAATAATGATGAAAGTCGTAAATGACAGTTAGTATACTCCTACTATCATATATTCAACCTTCCTACCATATTGGTATGTTCATACCATCATGGTACGCTTTCTTACTATATGGTATTAAATAGGAGCATACCATATGGTATTGACTAGTAAAAAATGACTCAATTTTTTTTGTTTTAAAAATATATCAAAGTGGATATCATTTTAAAGAGCACAATTAATCTGATTTACACAATTAATCTGATTTATTTGTGCAAAACAATTTAAATTTTGACTTAAAACGAGAGAGAAATCGTCTGCAAAATTTATTTGTGCAAAAGGCTTTCCGTGAGAGAGAGGGATGCTGATGTCATTTTGATGTGAACAGGTTACTCATGATTACTCACCATAAGGTTATTAACCTGATCCGCTCTCCTAGAAAAAACGTGGGTTAAAAAGTAAAAAAAAAAACTTATACATGTGAAGGGAAAAAAAGCTCATTTAAGATAAGTTTTTGCGAAAGGGGAAAACTTGCGTAATCGACAGTTAGAAAAAGTGCATTAAGGGAAAAAATAATTTTAAGCCCAAATCGATAGTTAGAAATACATGCAAATATAATTTTTAATGTAAGTGTTAGGTGGTCCTATGGTACAACCTCTCACATCCCACAGACCCCTTAAACATACCTACATACTTGCACTTTATTTATATATATATATATATACACTAATAATACTAATAATAATAGGGATCTCCTAGAGTAACTTGGGTATAATTTCAAGTTAGGTAACTTGCATAGATCTAGACCATTAAAATCAGTTAGAATCAACTTAAGCCATTGATTAAAAAAAAAAAAAAAAAAAAAAAGGGGGACACCGGCACTGCCGGCTCAAGATAGGGTGCATAACCATGGGTTATGCACCCATCAATAACCAAATATGGACCCTTCATTTAGAAAATCCAGATCTAAGGATGGAGAATTAAAGACTATTTTTATTTTCACTAGCTTTCTTAATTGACTCATATCTTTTTCGTTTTAACTCGGATTTTAATTTTTTTTGCACAGATGGAACGAGTTCACCGTGCTCTACAAAATGAGATCAATTTTCAATATTTTTTGAGGAAAAAATATTCTGGCCTCTCGGTACCAACTGCATACCATATGGTATTTTCTTCGTTTTTAATTCGTTTTTGAAAACGTTTGCACAACAGGGACGAGTTCATCATGATCTACTGGATCTACAAATTTCTGGGTGAACAAAATACAGGACCAAAAAATACCACACAATACCATACAATACCACCCTGGTACGGGGTGGTATTGTATGGTATCTTGTTCGTTTTTAATTCGTTTTTGAAAACGTTTGCACTGAAGGGACGAGTTCATCATGATCTATTGTATCTACAAATTTCTGGGTGAACAAATTACAGGACCAAAAAATACCACACAATACCATACAATACCACCCTGGTACGGGGTGGTATTGTGTGGTATACAATGTTAAAAGTCGTAAATTACAATTAATATACTTCTACTATCATGTATTCAACCATCCTACAGTATTGGTTTGTTCATACCACCATGGTACGTTTTTCAAAAAATAGGTATGCTTTTATTTCAATACCAGTCAATACCATATGGTATAGGCTGGTAAAAAATGGCTCAATTTTTTTTGTTCGAAAAATATATTAAAGTGGATATCATTTTGAAGAGCACAATTAATCTGATCTAACTGTGCAAAAAAAATTAAATTTCGGCTTAAAATGAGCGAGAAATCGTCCGTCAAAGATTAAAGAGGGAAAAATTAAAGGCTTTCTATGAGAGAGAGGATGCTGATGTCATGCTGATGTGGACGGGTTACTCATAGTTACTCACCATAAGGTTACTGACCTGATCCATTCCCGGCACTGCCGGTGAATACATTCCCGTTACCTTTTTTTTTTAGGAATTCCCGTTACCTTTTTATTTCTTGCCCTCCTTTTGTTTTTCATTGCACAATTTATTTCCTTTTTAGTTTTTACCTTATTGCGCCTCTGCTTGATTTTATCCAATTGCATGTATTTAATTTTTTTAATTATCTTTTCATAATTTTAATGATAGTTTCTACCAAAAATGTTGTGGAAGACTTAAATTAAATACTTTTCGTAATGCCTTCACATAACGTAAGGTTAAATATTCATTACGTAAAATAAGTCTCAATTACGTAAGGTTTCAGTAATGACATTTTACAACTGTTACGTAAAATACACATCCATTACGTAAGGCTTCCGTAATGACAGTTGTTGCTTAACGTAACAGTTAAATCAGAAGCGTTACGTAAGACTTCCGTAATGCCTTCACACTTTACATAACGCAAGTTTAGTATTCATTACGTAAAAAAAGTCTCAATTGCGTAAGGCTTCCCTAATGAAATTTTACAACTATTACGTAAATACACATTCATTACGTAAACCTTCCGTAATGACAGTTGTTTCTTACGTAACGGTTAAATCAGATGCGTTACGGAAGGCTTTCGTAATACCTTCACACTTTACGTAACGCAAGGTTAATATTCATTACGTAAAAGAAGTCTCAATTACGTAAGGCTTCCGTAATGACATTTTAGAACTATTACATAAAATACACATCCATACGTAATGCTTCCGTAATGACAGTTGTTTCTTATGTAACAGTTAAATAAGAAGCGTTACGTAAGGCTTCCGTAATACCATCACACTTTACGTAACGCAAGGTTAATATTCATTACGTAAAAGAAGCCTCAATTACGTAAGGCTTCCGTAATACCTTCAAGTCTTACGTAACACAAGGTTAATCTTCATTACGTAAAAGAAGGCTGAATTACGTAAGGCTTCCGTAATGACAGTTATCTCTTACGTAACAGTTAAATTAGAAGCATTACGTAAGACTTCCGTAATGACTTATTACTTTACGTAACGCGAGATAAATATTCATTACGTAAAAGAAGCCTCCACTACGTAAGGCTTCCGTAATGAGATTTTACAACTGTTACGGAAGATGCACATACGTTACGTAATCATTACGTAACACCTGTTGTGTTTTACGTAATGAAACCTGTGAAACCTGCTATAGCAGGTAAAAAAAATCAAGTTACCTTACTTCAAGGCATTGTAGGAATTTCCAATAATAATAATATAGCTAGCGTTTGTCGTCCTATAGTATTCGTCGCAGTCATTTTCTCTCTGAGTACTTCTTTTGTCTGTTCCTCAAATAATGAATGTGTTTGTAGACTTTTATTTCGTACTGATTTATGTAATAACCAAAACATTTATATTTACTTGTACTTGTGCATACGTACATACGCAGAGGCGCCAATGAACGAAGACTTTCTTCGTATGTCTTTTTCAATCAATAATTTACAAACTCCTTTTAAACAACCTATACGTAGTACCATTTAAAAGTACCCATTGTGTAGTACACCTATCTATAAGAAAAAACGTTAACAATGGTGGAGCAAGGACAGTATCCAAAATAAAGAAGTTTCTTCAATGTCACCATAAAAGTATTAGAGAATGAATAGTACGAGTAGTATTATGTTATACTACGAGTATTGTCATGTAATTTGATATAGTAATATTTCTTAATAAAACCGTAGAAGTTAGATAATTTTTGTATTAGTGTTAGTCACTATAATAACACTAACACCAGTACGAAAAGACCTAATTTCTACAACTATAATAAGAAATATAACTCCGTTAATTTATATAATAATATTCGTAGTATTAACATAAGAGCACTTATACTATACTTTACAGAATTGGTGTTTTAAAGTATAACTTGAAGTTGTACCATAATGTTAAAAGTACAAATTGAAGTTGTATCAGAAGGAAATTTCAAACTTTATGTTATGGTACACCTTCAAATTGTAACATAACATCATGTACAACTTTAACTTATATCATAAGGAAATTTATACAAAAAATTATAAGTACAACCTCAATTTGTACCATAACATTAAAGATACAACTTCGAACTGTAACCAAAAACTAAACCACCAATACTTTTATAGTAAAATTTATCTTTAACGTAATACTACTCATAATTCTACTTGTACCACCATACTCAAATAAAAAGAAATCCATGCGAACCCATAGATCTATAAATGCGGCTGGACCGATCGGCGCATTCCAAGTAACAAAAAAGGAAATACACAACACAAAAATTACAGGGCATGTCCACCCAGCCAATCAACAACGGTATTCCCGTTATAGACCTGTCTCCCAACAACTTGGAGCCAGGAACACCAACGTGGGTCCGGACCAGGGAGGATGTCAGACGAGCGATGGAAGAACTCGGCTGCTTTCAAGCAATCTACGATACTAAAGCCGCCGAGGAGATCCACAGCGATATTTTGGCGGCGGCCGAGGAATTGTTCAATCTACCGGTAGAAACCAAAAGCCAGAAGCTTAGCGACAAGCCTTACTTCGGTTACTTTGGACAGCATCCCAGCTTCCCACTCTACGAGTCCTTGCCCGTCGATCACCCGGCAACTGTTGAAGGCTCTCGCGGCTTCACGGACGCCATGTGGCCGTCGGGAAACCTTAAATTCTGGTAACAGTTGCCCATTTTAACCCGTTGACTTTCTTTTATGTAGACTATAGCTAGGAGAAAAAGTTTCTTTGTTTTGTTTTACATTAAAATTGATATGAAATTGCTGATCACCCTTCTCCAACAGCCAAAGCAACCTGGCATTCTCAAAGGTGGTAGTGGAGATAGACCAATTGGCCATGAAAATGTTGACTGAGAGCTACAGGATCAAGGATAGTTTCTATGACGAATATGTCAAGTCCACAAACTATGTTCTCCGTTACTTCAAATACAAGGCACCGAAGGAGGACGAGGACAACATGGGCCTCGCATCTCACACCGACAAATCAATGATTTCTGTACTCCATCAAAACCATGTCAACGGCCTTCAAATAAGAACCAGGAACGGTGTCTGGGTCGATGCAGATTTCTCTCCCTCGTCCTTCATAGTCATGGCTGGTGACGCCCTCATGGTACTAGCACGGAGTACTCATAAAGAAATAAAAATCTCCAAAATTAAGTACTTAAATAGTTTGTATGTGATTGATGATTTAAGACTGCATTTTGTAGGCATGGAGTAACGACATAATACCGAGTTGTTTCCATCGGGTGATAATGAAAGAGACGGGGAGGGAGACGAGGTATTCGTTAGGGCTGGGGTCGATAGTGAAAGGTACGTTGCAGACTCCCCAAGAAATGTGTGATGAGTCGCGTCCGATGTTGTACAAACCGTTTGATCAGTTCGAATACCTGAGGTTCTATGAGTCGAAGCCGGATCACAAGCCGGAATGTCCAATAAAAGCATATTGTGGAATATGAGCTCCTTCTGTACTAGATTATTCCACCATGTTGTCCATCAATGATTGAATTAATTGACAAATAAGTCTTTCGCGTATGTTGGGTTTTGTTGTTCGATGTCTTTCAAACGGTTCTTGATTTATGTTAATGGTATGGAGTATGATATATTTGCGGTGTAATTTCATCTGGTGGATTTGTGTGAAAACTTATGTTAAATAATAAATAATGTTAAGAGACTTGTGAAATTCAAAACTCTAAAGTGTACTTGGTTAGATATCACACGAGAACAGTCAAACTGCATTGCATTCACATCAAGGTTGTCAACTCGCGGGTCGACCCACTTTGACCCAGACCCGGAGAGAAACACGAGTTGCACGCACCCGTCGGGTCGACCGCTACAAGGTATCAGATAGGAGGTCAAATCGTGCAATTTTTTTCTTTGGTTTACGAAATGCGCCTATTTTTCAATTTTTCTTTTCGCCTTGTTCAATATTTGGAATCCTTAGTTGAACATTTGAATATTGATGTTATGTAAGTGTGTGTGAATTTTCACTATATGTTGGATCTAAGTACGACATGTTACTTTGGTGTAATGTTATATGTTATTGCTCATATGTTAGATGGGATTTGATACAATTGATCAGGATAAGTACAATATAATGACTCTTTCCATATTTCAGGGCTAAAACGAGCCACCCGTTAACCCTTTACCCACTTGCTCGACCGGAGGGTCAACCCGCGGGTTGACAACCTTGATTCACATAAATATCAGTCAGATAGGATATCATCCTTAAGCACCAAATTTGAGAAATTCCTTAAGGTTTGACTCGCCAATAGAAAGAGGAAAGAGAGAGAAAGAGGAGGAAGGTGACTACCTAGAAAAGCAAAATGGGTAGTGTGATTAATTATTTAAATTATTAATAATAATAATTGGCGGTGGAAAAATATTCCCATTCCCCTAAAAGCCGCTACTTCTTCAATCTCAAACATCTGCCTCTCTCTTTTTGAACAAAAAAACTAAGGGGTCGTTTGGATGAGTTTATTGACAATGTGGTATTTGTAGGTTCAAATAACTCATTTTTCCATCTGGTGGTATTTCAGAGGTATTTGAGATTGATATATGGTATTTTAATTTTAATTGTGTTGTTTGGATGAAAGAGTTATTTGTGTGTGGTATTTCATAAAACAAACCAAAAATACTTTATTGCCCTTCTTACATTGCCCTTCTTCCTGGAATTTTTTTTTATCATCAATCGATCACAACCACTACCACCGCCTGAAAGAGGAAGAAATACTAGTCTCTAGTGAGAAAGAGATACCAGTTTGATCCTACAACGCCAAAGTTCAATTAAGGAAAGGAAGAATTCGCATGCACAATTAAGGAATGGTTAGAGGGTGGAATCTATTAGGGATTGGACAAAACAGAGCACAATTGAAGGAAAGGGAAAGATTGCATAAATTAGTATACAAGTCTCCCCACCGTCGCCGCTGCCGTTAGAGAAGGAACAAGAAGAGTGAGAGGAATCGATCGAGGCGGACCGCACGAGGAGGAACGAGAAGAGGGAAGGAATCGCATGATGGTTCTCCTTGCCGTTGCCGCCGCCAGAGAATGAGTCATCGCCGCATCAATCGAATTGGACTGCAGGAGGAGGAACGAGAAGAAGGAGAGGAATTGCAGGAAGTTCTTCCTGCTGTCGCTGTCGCCAGAGAAGCCTTTCTTTGCCGCCGCCATAGAAGGAATCGCCACCGCCAGAGAAACCTTTGCTCGCCGCCGCAACCTAGGCTTCAGCCTACTCAAACTGATCCGCATAAAGAATGGAATTCAAAGGTTGCAGAAGAAACCTCCGCCGCTCAATGGATTTTGATTTGGGGCTGAAGAATCGAAGAAGAGGAGAAGAAGCGTAAAAGAGAGAGGAGAGAGATTGGGGGCAGAATAGGGTGCTTTTAACGCAAAACACGTTATTCAGAAATAACTGGGTATCCCCCTGTTATTTTCAATAACTCGTTTTTGAGTTATTTCGGAATAACTCATGCTCAAATACCACATTCAACTTTTGTTATGCCAAACAAGTTATTTGGTCCCGAATAACTCACAATGAGTTATTTGGTACCAAATAACTCGTAGCAATAACTCATCCAAACTACCCCTAAACCAAAACCGCTTACAGACTCCACAAACGACGAGATAGGCGTCGGGATTTGCAGCGCCACCGTAACTGAACACAACCGCGTAGCCTTGAAGAGGCCAGCGTTTTCGACTATTAAAAAAACTAGAAGTTTGCTACGCGCGCGTTGCCGCGCGATGGGTTATTATTTTGGATTTGTTCATTGTTGTCGAAAAAATAACTATTCTATATTACTCTTGCAACTAAAGCATATTTGTTACATCTATAATTTACATGGGTTCCAAGAGACATGGGCTTGCACGGATGTATTTTACAAAGTTGTATAATATAAACAAACAGGTGTCGAATGGGTTCCCTTGCCAAAATACATGCCCTCTTCCTCATGTGTCAGCTGATGTATTTTCAAAAGTTGACTGCCATGTAGGAGTCGTCGATACCCTTTTCTGCCCGAGTGGTTCTACTATGCTTCTGTACACTATTGATAAACAGGGTTGATGTTGTACACTATAAACACGTAGAGCTTGACTTAGAACTGGTTCACCTGAAAGAAAAATCGAAGTGTAAGGGGGTGTCATGTATGTCAGCACTCAGCAGGGAAGATATATTTTGCGACGTCTTACCTGGTTCGTTGTTTCTTTCCTCCTAGGCTGCTTGTGTTTGCAGATTCGGCTGAGTTCGAGTGCTTTTCTAGCATGAAGGTGGTCATGACATCCTCAGTTGACGGCAACTCAACCGCTGGCCTGTTAGTTTAGGATGTAAGAACCATATGGATAACACATTTAAGGAGATGTGATGCATGTGTTCTTTTGCTTGAAAATTGGCAGAAGAAAAGTATTTTTGAACAAAGCAGTGTGGCAATACAAATACCTTTTTGATTTTTTGTCAAGGATGGAGCTACTGTTGCATCAGAAGTATGCGTGAAGCGAACCTGTGGTCTGAAAGAGTTGGAAACAGTTGAAAAGTGTCAAAATTGGTCTAGTAAGAATAGTTGACCAAACACAATCATAGAAGTACGAAACCATTTTCCAGTTTACCCGTCTTCCAAGACTTGTTGACGGATGTCTGGGTCAAGCATGCATGGCTCTTTTGATCTTCCATTAAGGCAATAATGCAGAGGCACACCTAAGTCGATAGCTCAAACCGCACAGGAGATGGGGACCTGCAATTGTAGAGCATTTCCTAAAAGCGAACTTATGAGAGCAAACACTTGCTATTGGAATAAGCCAGTTTAGCTAAGAAATGTAGTGCAATGCGTACATTGACATCATAAAGATGTTTTAGGTCAACCAATGGGCTTGGTAAGTTGGCCTCCACAACTGAAGCACAATCTGTGCAGTTAATTGCATATTTGAACATGTATCTTACGATTCTTCTTTGGTGAAAGATTCCAACATCAACGCGAGCTTCAAATCTGGCTGATGAGTTCCTAGTGCAAGGAATTAGATTACCAATATGTGCAACCATTGGCCTGAGAAAACATATTTTAGTTACCCTCTGCAAAATTGAAAATCTTCCGAATAAACAGTAGTAAAAAGTATCTAATGGGAAGAATGTGTATATACAAAATTAGTTAAGAGCTTATGATAGACCGATAATTATACATGTTTTCACCCCTTTTCTGAAGCCGTTTGTGATGAGGAATCTCGTGTTTTAAGCCGATTTCACGCTAGGTTGTGTGTTTATGTCATATTTCAGGTCCCGGCGTTGGAATCGAGGCGGAGAAACGAGTTCTAGGTCGAAAGGAGCAAAGTTGGGGCAAAGCGGGCTGTAGGAGGAAAATACCCGGTCAGGTGGCCAAATACCCGACCGGGTATTCATCACTTCTGGGCGCCCGAGAAGCAGAGAGGGGCCCGGGCACAACAGCAAAATCCCCGGTCGGGTATTATGCCGAGTGACCGGGGATTCTTCCCTTAAGCGAAACGGTGCGCTGCGAAAATACCCGGTCGAAACCCAAAATACCCGACCGGGTATTTCGACCGGGTATCGCGACCAGGCAGCTGATATAAGGAAGAAGAAGGCCAACATTGAGGGGTTCCGAGTTTTTGAGAGAGAAATCGATTCCTAGAGAGAGAAAGCGACGAACCAGAGTTCCCAAGCGCCATAGATCGATCTTCAACACCATTGGAGCCCGTCTTGAGCTTGGAGAAGTGCGATTAAACGTCCAGGAGCAGAAATCCAACTTCACAGTATGATTTCCGCGTCTGAATCTGTTTTTGCTTCTTTCTCTATGGAGTAGTTTCCCCATTCATCTGGGTATGGGGAACCCTAGATTTGTATGCTAGGTCTGATTGTAGGAACCCAAGTACAGAGTTTGTGAATTGATTATATTCGATTAAGGTTTGAATGATTGAATGACTTGAATCCTGATCAAATTCCTGTTGTTTCTGCTTTAACCTAGAATGAGAATATCTGCCTAGGTTGATAGAGTACCCTTAATCGAAGGTGGCGAATTGGTGACTTTAGTCGAGAAGCCAATTCGCTATTCTGTACCGAAGTCAGTTCGGTAGTGGAGGTTTGGTTCATTAGGGCCTCAATCTGTTTACTCCGGTGGAGGTTAGTCGCCCGCTAGAGACTCAGATTGAGAGGGTCTGGAGACCTTTAGTCGAGACTTCAGGCTAATTGAGAACCTTCCGCAGTATAACTTTCATGAAAACTGAACTTGGTAAATTGCAATCCGACTTAACTGCAGTCTAGGGGAAACCATATCCGGGTGACCTCTCTTGACTTGACAACAACCGTTTACTTGCTTTGTGTTTTGTTTGCTTGAGTTGCACTAAAAGTTCACCGCTAAATAACAAGAATTCACCGAGTAGTCATCACATCTAGGACCCGGGTTGACAATAAAACCCAAACCCGCTATACTACGCTTGAGGAAGTGGTTGCACTTGGCCATTTTCTAGAGTGACAGTAGGAGTGAGTCAGCTTCAAATTGATTTGAAAAAGTTATAAGCTATGGGATACCGACAGTGTAGGTGGCGGGAATCGCGTTTTGATCATGGATACAACTGTCGCTTCAATTGTAGACGGCTCAACCATTTTTTGCATTGA